GTAAGCACGCGCGCATCGCGCAATAATGGCTCTTACGTAAGAGGTGACATTGGCTGATTACGCACATCGGATTATGGTGGTTGTGTATGCGGGATAAAGTCGGTGAACGCGGTGGAAACTTATTGTCCCCTAATTATCGCATTCGCCTGTTGAATCTGTAATTTGCAACTCGGCGCTGAAAAGTTTTCCGCTAGTCGATCTAAACGTTTCGTCATAATAATCGATCGAGTTTATTTTTACGTGTACACGCAGCATTGACACGTTTGATAGATCTTGCAAAAAAATTGTAAATCCGGGTAAAAATCCCGGTTTGATTAAATTCTGATGTAGCTGTATATTCGCTGAAAAACACAGCCATGCGGTTCTTTATTTGTCTAGCAGAGAGAGATTGTAATGGATGGTACACAGTAATTCGTTTTGCCTTGGAATATGTATTTCTCGAGGTATTTGTATTTATTTACTGACAGGTGCGCGCAATATATATGAAAAATTTAATAAAAGTAAGAGTGAGCGCATATAATAATAACGTAGAGTATCAATTTGGTATAATTGTGTAACCGTATTTGCATAAACATGAAATGTACACAGCCGCGTAAGTTAATTAATATGGAAATACAGATAATTTAGAAAGTCAAAAATTTGACCAAAATAATCATTCGATTATTTTGATTATATTAATATTTATTATTTGAATCGTTTTGCTTGTTCCGATCAATTCGCTTGCTTTATTTTGCTCATTTCGACCACTTGATTATTTTGATTACATGTTGATTGTTTTCATCGCGTTTTGATAATTTTGATTATTTTGATTACCTTGACATTTCGACCAATTTCATTATTTTAGTTGTATTGATTATTTTTATTATTTTGATTTATTACTTTGATCAATCGTTTTGATCGGTTTTGATCAACTTAATTGTTTCGATTACTATAATCATTTATTCATTTTGATCATTTTGATCGTGTCTATTATTTTGTTCATTTTGCTCACTTTATTCTGATCATTTGGATTATCTGAATTATTTTGTTTGTCCATTTTGGCCAAATACTTGAACAACATTTATCTTTTTCATATTATAATATACATAATAATGATTCATTCTATCAGGCAGAAGATAAACTGATAAATTTACTGATCAAATAGCTAAACAACGTATTATGGACAAAATAAGGTCAAATTGTTAAGTTTGTGAATTATTTACATTCTAATGAACTTCTTCGATAGCGAAGAATTATACCTTAGCAATTTTAAAACGACTTATTGAGCTGTAATGTAACTTAAAATGACATGAGGTATTGGATTTCTTTTGCTAGTTTTATTTCCAAAGTCAAGGTGACATTTTCAAGGTCATCTCATTCTTATTATTATATTTTTATTGTTTTACAATATAGGATCAAAAATAAAACATGTATAATAGTAAAAATACATTAATAAAATTATAATAATAAAATAATAATTTATATAAAATCGTAATGCTATAATATATTAATATTAATTATTAAATTTATTAATCAATTATATAAATAATAAACCTTTACATATATAAATTATTAATATTTATTATTTGTATATATTTTTTCTTGTGTTGACATATACAATTTGATAATTAAATTTGATTAAGATGTGCTTGCGCTCGGCGAAAAGATCGTTCGATGTGTTCGGCTAATTTTTTATTATTGCATTATTTTTTTTATTATTACAATTTGTCGCCACTTGGAAGCTGATTCCGTTGATGACTCTTTTGTCGGATTATTAGTAAATGCCTTAAAAATTGTGGCTATTACAAGGCAGACCAGCCTTCAGGTAGACACTGCTGATAAGAATCGGGGACTTTAACGTGGATTGTTAGCGAAAGCCCTTAAGGGACGAACTTTAAATCGAAACAGTTAAAGTAATCGTGGAGCAAAAACGCATGTCCGGACGTTTTCGCGTAACGTAGAGCGTTAATTCGTCTCGCCTTTTGGTCTTACACAATTCCACAACTTTTCTCCGTTATTGGAGTTTCCTTTCGTTCCCTCATAACGGAAGTTTGGCGAACGGTCAGGCGTGACGAGCCGTTTAATCGGGCGGAAAAAGATATAAACAACATGGAAAGAGTTGTAATCAGCGCGCGTTCGCTCATTATTTTCCCAATTAACCAACACAATCCAGCAGGGTATTTACGTCCGATCATTGCAACAGACTATTGCTAATTTGATGATTCCTCCAACAACCATTTATTAGTTCAACCGTTCGTTATTCATTATTTTTCATCTTTTTTTTTTTTTATATATAGGGTGGTTCAAAAGTCCAGCAACGGTCAATTATCTCCGAAAATAAGGCATTTGACGGTGACCTTGACTTTGACCTAGAGGTCATTTCAAGGTCAACTTAATTGTTTTAAATGGAACTCCCTATTTTTCATTGCATATTCTTGTAACTTACCTCGAGAATTTTCCAAAACGCTATAATAAAACATTTTTTCATTAAGTACTTGAGTAAGAGTTACAAAGATTTGAAGTTGACATTTTTTTGACAATTGTAAAATATCTTGCAAAATATTCAGTAAAACATTTACTGAATAAAAGAGGGAAGAAGAAGAAAGAGAAAAGCGCACTGAATATATATTTTGGAATAAAAATTTTGTTTGGTGTATTTTATAAATCCGATATCTATATTTTTTTTCGCGCGAATAAATCCTTTAGGTTTCACAATTCAACTGTCAAAAAAAAAAAAGAAAAAGAAGTAGTAAAAAGCAGAAATTCAATCTGCGTGTGGAGATGCATTAGTCAAGTGTAGGGGGATATTATACTTTGTACCTCTCACCGAGTTAGCGTAACTTCTAACAATGCACTCTTCCAAACGCGATTTGCGCGACAAAAAGCCGAAACTGCATAATCATTAGATTAAGCTTCGAAACTTCCTATTGTATGCGCTGCGTTATATCCTCTCTTCCTGTCTCTTCCTCTCTTCCGGGTCATTAATTTAGAATTTAATTTAATTAATCGCAGTTCTCTGTCAAAAAATTTCCCAACTTTTTACATTAAATAATATTTACCTCGGAAACTGAAATTAAATTATAATTTGTAAATAACTTTTATTTTATAAATATAAATTTATATATGAAAAGGGCTAGGAAGGAACAAAATTATTTTTTTGTACTTATTTTGTACATAACTTTTTTATATATCAAAGCCTTTTTATTTATTTTTATTTTGATTTATTATTATTTTTTTATTTGCTAATAAAATTAAAGTTATATTGTGATTTTGTGTGAATTTCTCTCTCTCTCTTTTAATTCTGCAAGACGTTATTATTTATATTTTTTATGATTTAATAACGATGTTATTATTTTTAATTATTACAATAAATTGTTTTATTCTCTCTTATGCGGCTTTTATCTAAAATAAAATGACTTTTGGTGCATCTGGCGTACATACGATTTTGTTATATGCATACGAAACGCAGGATACAGATGCATCTTATCGGGTCTCTTGCAACGCTAAACGGTACGGAAGTTGAATTTTCTATGTAGTCCCCTCCCTCTCTGCCCCCTCAGTTGCTTATCATTTTCCGTAAGCTTTGAGGCTGCCGCCACGCAAATCTAGATTGCAAAGTCCGAAGTTAATGGAAAAACTGCTATTTATCCTACTCTCGGCCAGACAGAATACTTCGAATACGCTTACCGTTTACAGCGGAGTTTGTATCGGAAATGAGCTATTACGCTGCTGAAAGGCTCTTCTCTTTAAACTCACGTACTCACGTTCAGATATTCTTTTAAATTGTCACGCTTTTTTTCTTTCTCATTTTTTTTATTTCTTCTAAAAAATTCAGTGGAACAACTCTCGTCTCTGAAATTAAGTTGTTCGCTTACCTATGTTTACATTACCAAATTATTATATTTGCTCGAGTCGGATTTTAATTTACGAAATCTATATAATTTATAGAGGGACCGAAGGAGAATGTTATTTCTGGGACCCCTCAATATGACAGATGTGTTTAATAGATTTTTTATCTAGAAAATATTTATAATTATAATTATTACAATTATTATATTTATAATTATTATTATTTATAATTATTTGTTTAAAAATTTTAATTTTTTAAAAATATATATCGAGATTTCTAAATTTTTTGATAAGAGATCACTTTTATATTTTTATTTAATCAGAAATGAGTTAGGTTAGATTAGAATTTTTGTTAGGTTAGAATTTTTGGGTTAGGGTTAGGCTAGGTTAGAATTTTTGGGGTAGGGTTAGGTTAGAATTTTTTTTAGATTAGAATTAGAATTTTTTATTGAGGTTTGTGACATTATTCATCTGATAAAAAAATCCTACAAGAATGCTCAAATTCTGGCCTCTTATTATCATCTGTAAAAAAAAAAAAATTGAAATGATATTGGCAGATCTATGCTAATTGTTACGTTGCACCTGCAGTGTATATTTAATTTTTATTTAATTAGAAATGAGTTATATTAGATTTTTTAGGTTAGTGTTAGAATTTTTTATTAAGGTTTGTGACATTCTTCTTCTGATAAAAAAATCCTACAAGAATGCTCAAATTCAGAAATTTCGAATATAATATTCTGGCCTCTTATTATCATCTGTAAAAAAAATAAAAAATTGAAATGATATTGGCAGACCTATGCTAATTGTTACGTTGCACCTGCAATGCATCATATATCGTGTACATCTCGCAATAATTAGGTTGTAAACGAGGCGATTCGCCTCATTCCCTGGTTGCATTCCAGAGTCTACACAACCAACGATACGGTATTTCGCTCAGACAATGGCGCCTAATGTAATTGCGTAGCCATTGGACGAGGAATGGGAAGAAGAGGAGCGAGACAGAAGGCAATTGTGAATTTTAGCCCAGTTTCTCACAAACCCCATTGACTAATTAGCGGTAGAGCGAGAGAGATTGTTTTCTCGTTTTCCTCCTTCCTTTTTTTGCGCTTAATTAATCTGATCGCGCGAGCGGATAATTGAAAATCTAATTTCATTACTCTTTGTTGTTTCAGGTAAGTGACTGTCAAGGGAGAAAGAGACGGAAAAAAGGGAGGATGGTGTAGTAAGTAATCATCGCTCTTTATCTCCTTCGTGTATTTGCTTTTATCTTCGTTGTTACTTTATCGACTAGCCTCGCAGAGATAAGGTATATATATATATAAGGGTAGGTTCTTCCTTTGGGAATTATTAGTATGCTAAGTTTGCCGGCGATTAAGCGCATTTAATCATCGGCGGGATAATTTCGTTACTTCCGCCAGGGAAATATTTCCTTCCGTCGAGTCTAACGAGTAAGCGTTTACGCTCGTCGTTCTCTCTCTAGGTTTTGCTTGATCCGTTTCTACTGAAAATGGAAAAGAGGATCAAGGATGCTTCATCTTTTGTGCTTCATGTATTTTTTTTTTTTTCTCATTCATCCGGTGATGCTAAATTATGTATGTATTTTGTTTTATAATTTCTATGTCTATCTCTTTTTTGTACTCTGTTTAAAATGTACAGGATCAAATCCCTGTATGGAATCAGCATATCATTCGATAAACTATTCTATAATTTTTGCGTATAGTGGAAAATAGCTTATAAAAAATATAAAAATTGTATAAATAAAATATTAAATATATGGGAAACAAAATAATTATATAGAATCTTATAAAAACTTGGTTGATATAAAAGGTTGAAATAACAGAAATATTATATAAATAATATATCGAAAAAATGCATTAAATTATGTAAATAATGTATATGTATCGAAATACATTTTATGTTTGAATTATTTATCGATTCTCCTCTTTATTTCGGTTCTCTTTACGTGGTGCATATTTTTTCCCGCGCGAATTGTAAATCTGCGGAATAAGCACAGCGATTTTTTTTGCGATTTATCCAATCTATTTTGCGCCAGGCCTCCCAAGAGTTCAATACGTTGAAAAAAAAAATACGCGAATTTCACCGTAGATAATACATCACGTGCAGTTCGCGGTCGCGAACGAAAAATCGTTCGTTGCAATATAAAATCAGCGCACGTATATATATATATATATATATATATATATATATATATATCATATATATATATATATATATATCATATATATATATATATATATATATATGAAAGGGGTAGAATTAACCACGTTAACCGGATATAAATTTCATCTGCCGCGGACGCGGGAGTAAATTCTCTAGTGCGATAACTAACTATATAACAACCGGTCGAAAAAGCGCCGGCTTTTGCAAAGTGCTTGATTGTAACTTATGCGACTTCATTACGCGTCGTGATGTAATTGTTCCATGCGCGCGAGCGTTTTTCGCAATTTCGCCGCGCCGCGCCGCGCCGGTGCAAAATCGATCATTTATTAAAAATCTTGCTTTATCGCGCGCGCGCACTTTTTTCCTTTTGCGCGATGATACATATTTGATAGCGCGTGAAACATTTTTCTCGATTTTTCTTCTCGAAAAATGCTTTTCTCATTCTAGTTAGGGAGATTCTAAACGTCCTTGAGTTTCAGTCCTGTTTTATCGACAAAATGTGAGGTTAGATAAACTATAAATCTATTGATTATAAACTATTAATCTATTTATAAATATTTTTCCTGTAGAAATTAAAGTATTTATATTAACAAACGTGGAAGTGCTTTAATTTCAGGTAAAAAACAATCCGTATAGCCATTAAATAGGTTTATAGTTTATCTAACCTCACATTTTGTCGATAAAACAGGACTAAAACTTAAGTTAGCTTAGGATAGTTTATGCGCGATATTGATGGGATCGCGCGGTATTAATATTTATCTGTACCGTATTTATCGAAGAAAATAAATACAACGGCCCGTGATTTTGTTTTCAGTCGGGATGAAACCGCGAAGCGTAACTAAATTATAAAACATATCCGGAAATATTGTACGCGGTGCGTTTTTTGCGCGGAAGAGTTAAATTTTGCGATATTTAATTTTTTCGGAATTATGATTTTATTGTTAAAATTCATAAGAATGGAATGCGGAAATATTTAATTGGTACAGCTTGTGTATGATGATCGAGGATTAATATGTGTTGAAGAATTTTATTTTGCAAATAGAATATTTTATTTTTAATTTTCTCTCCTTTGCACGCGCAACTATAATGAACATTCGCTTCCATCTTGACTTCCCTCTCCAATTACTGCTTAATTAATGTACAATTCTCGTTGCTCGGGAAGGGACTAATATCGTGGAGCATAATAAACGTTCCGTCTATGTCTCCTTCTCTGCCTATTAAGGACCCTCCAACTCTACTTATGCAAGGCAGTCTGAGGTATAAATTATGTTTAACATTCAATCACATTTAATTTTTAATAGAAATAAGATTCCCTGAATTTTTTTCAACCGTAGTAGTCTTAATATTTTTTTTTCAATAGTTTATATGTATAAATTTTGCTGTAAGTTAAATATATAAAAATATTTCTATATGTATAAAATAATTATATTTGAAATAAAATTTTGATCACAACAATTTCTGCATAAGAAGATTTAGTATATTTAATTTTCAATTAAAGAAATATAAGATTTTCTTAAATCGTGATAGTAGATTTTATATTTATAGTAGATAAATTTATATTTGTATAAAATTTATATTTATATAAAATAAAATAATAATATTATGTATAAAATATTGTATATTTTGTATAAAATATTGATACATATAAAATACTCATATATATTTTATTTATTTATTATTGTTATTATAACAATCTTTTTCAAATATGAAGATAATTTTTCAAAATATTTAAATAATTAATTTTTGTCATAAAATAAATATAGAAAATTATATATATATAAAAATTATATTTTTGAATTAAGATTTTTGATACAACAATTTCCACATAAAAATATTTAATCTATTTAATTTTTAATAGAAATATATAAGATTCCCTCAAATTTTTCAAACGCAGTGAAAATAACTTTTTTGACATAATTTAAAATATAATTAAATATATAATTTTTGCTATAAGACAAATATTGCATGTATATAAAATATTGATATATAAAATTATTATATTTGGTATGAAATTTCGACGCAACAATCTCCGCGAAAATAGCAAATAGAAAATTACAACGTTAAAATTATATGCTTCGATTATAATAATGTGCGTATATAATTTATGTATATACCGGCCGACATATATCAAAGAGTGGAGATGTCAAAATCGGCACATTCTCGATTTATATTAAATTAAATTCCCGGGAAGTTACGGAAATTTCACTCGGCTATAATATATATATATATATGCATATGTTAATGCGGGTTCGCGCGCGATTATCGCCGGCGCCTAATTCGCATGATCGAGCTGCTTCCGCTGTTTTCGTGTCATCGGTTGTGTTATATCGCGCCCGTAATATCGCAGGGACAACGCCGTAGATAAATCGATCAAATTATCCGCACGCCACACACGAATGCCGCGCGTCGAGAGCGACGATCATTATCGCCACTCTGTCATTATGAAAGCGATTTTACCGCCGCTAAAGGAGAGATTTTAATTAATAAGCGGCTCTTTGTCCGCCGCGCGATGACGTTCCTTCGCGATCGCCGCGTCTTTTCTCATGCAAATCACCAAGTATTGTTGTAACGTAGATGGACAGAACGATATGTGTGGAGAAGTATTATGCAATTTACGTGTTATATTCTCTCTCTTGTTGCGAGACGCTTACAAGGGTATCTCGCAAATCCGAGTAGTCTGATTTTCAGAATTTTACATTTATGTAGGGGGATAAATAGATATCAAAAAGTGTTTTATACAAAAGTTTCGTGGTAAAGATATATCTATTTAATTACATTAATAAAATTTTGAAAATTATTTTTTAAAATTTTTAGAAAAAAGTATTTTTCACAATTTTATTAATGTGGTTAAATAGAGGTATTTTTATCATGAAACTTTTGTACAAAACATTTTTTCATATCTTGATTATTTTTCAAAATATATATGAGGGGTGATTTCATCCCTTAGAATCATTTTGTGCAGCAACTGAAAATTTCTTCATCCCTTCTATATGTGCGTGTAAAGTTTCTTTAAAATCAGGATTTTCGGGTTTGCAAGGTTTATCTGTTAATCTAACAATTAAAAAAAATTAACGTTATCTCTTCTTGTTCGAAATCTATTATTTGTAGGAGTAATTTTTTGTTTTTTTATTTTCTTAAAATTCTTAAAAATTTCTTAAATTTGTTAGAAAAAAGTATTTTCAAAATTTTATTAATGTGGTTTAATAGAGGTATTTTTATCATGAAACTTTTGTAGAAAACAATTTTTCATATCTTGATTATTTTTCAAAATATTATATGAGGGGTGATTTCATCCCTTAGAATCATTTAGTGCAACAACTGAAAATTTCTAAATTTATTTCTTCATTCTTCCTATATGTGCGTGTAAAGTTTCATCAAAATCAGAATTTTCAGGTTTGCAAGATTCTTCTGCTAATCTAACAACTAAAAAAAAAATAAAATTAACATTATTTTTTCTTGTTCAAAATTTATTATTTGTAGGAGTAACTTTTTTTTCTTCTCATTTTCTTTCACGAAAAATGCATAAATAAATATATTCTCGTTGTATTGAATTTTTTGTAAATTTCGATAATGCAGTCTAAATTAATTATAATTTTCTCAATGCAGTTACTTTTAACGAATTATACCTCATAGATTTTATCATCATTATTTTTATGTATCTAATACATTAATAAAAATTATTAAGAGAATAAAAAAAAACACTTTAATTTTAAATACATTATTTTTTTAAAGTAAACAAAAATGCACTCTATGAGTAATTCATTTTATCTTCTCGTTATTTCTTTCACATACGTTCTTGTTCATAAATACTTAATAATTTTTAAACACAGTAATTATCAGTAAAAAAATTCCTAAAAAGAGGCTACATCGAAAACTTGAAAATTTTTTTCAGACACGCAAGGAAGGAACCGATGGAATCTTGTCTGTTTTTATAATTGCAAAAATCCGCGATTAGATCGACGTGTCGGACGCGCGCGTGATGAAAATGAACATTGCAAAGGGAGCAAACACACGCGCGCGGCATTGTCCCTGGGAGTGGAGATCTCCGAATGATTCGCGGTCTGTTTTAATCGCGA